GGTTCATAGAATCCACGTCCGTAAGGTTCTTACACTAGTGCGAGAGCATAAGTTGTTCGCGAACCTCAAGAAGTGTATATTCGCAGCGAACGAAATACCACTTCTTGGCTGCATCGTGGGTAAAAACGGTGTACGCTCTGATCCGGAAAAGATCAAGGCGATTAGCGACTGGGCATGTGCCAGTCGACGTCAATGTAATTCGAAAGTCCCTTGGCTTGGCTGCGTACTTGCACAAGTACTCGCGCAACTACGCCGAGATGACCGTACATCTCTCTCGTCTGCTAAAGAAAAACGAGAGGTGGTCATGGAGTGCTGAGTGTCAGCACTCTTTCGAAGGTATCAAAAAAAGCTTGATACAATCGCCTGTGTTGGCGATTGCAAACCAGGGCAGATCATTCCATGTGGTCTGTGACGATAGCGATTTCGCAACCTGCTGTGCGTTAGTGCAGTACAACTCAGACGGCGTTGAGCGCGTCGTCTGTAATTAACCGCGTCAGCTGCAAGCAGCTAAGAGAATTACCCAGTGCATGACAAAGAACTACTTGCCATGAAATATGCACTAGATTAGTTTCGGGTATATCTCTTAGGAGATAAACCCTTCATCGTTTTTACCGACTATGCGTCATTACGCGTGGCCGTAAACAGTCCAAACCTTTTGCAACGAATGGCGAGGTGGCTGCTTTCTTCGCGGAGTACAACTTCTCCGTCGAGTATAAACCAGGAAGACTAAATGTCGCCGCTGATGCTCTTTCGCGTCGATCCGATTTCGAGCCGACTGCTCAACACAACAGTAGGGGTGATCCCACTGTAGCGACACTATCAGTGAGTGTCCCGTCGTCGAATCTGCTCGACGACGTGCGAAAATCATACGCAGAAGGTGAGTCTCTTCTGTGATGAATGGATTACGTATCCAATCCGTGTAATCAAGCTTTGAAAAGATTTTCGTCTTAATACCGCTCTTCAAGCGAACGGTAATCGGTTCGTGATGGACTGCTGTACTATACATCAGTCAAGGCGACACACCTCGTGTCGTCGTTCCGGCTCATGGTGATTTGCGATTGCGCATCATGTATGAGTGTCACGATGTCCCAACAAGTGGGCATCGCGGTAGGGAAAAGACTAACCTCACGGTGAGTCGTGACCTGGTCGACATGCGAAGCGACCAGCTTACACAGTTGAGCGATGTCTCGACGAGCTTCAGCCAGCTCGTCACAAAGAGAACGAATCGAAAGTTCGTTCTCAAGTTGTGTGAACGCAAAAGCGGCACGATGGTCAGAACGATCGTGCGTTAAGTAATTGTAATTATCCCTTACAAGATCCTCAAGCTCACAACGCTGAGTCCGTTCATGAACCAGGTCATCTTGCAACTGGTCCGTTACACGGTTTAGCTCCTGAACATCAAGCTGATCCGACCCTCGAGCCGGATCAGGTGTTCCCACCGCCATTACATCCTTTGGTGGATTCTGGATGTGGTCAACGCTTTCTGGAGGAGCGTATTTGTCGATGTCCTGGGTCTCGTCGAGCAGTATGAAGAGACCCACCCGCTGCGTTCGAAGAAGGGCCGTCGGAAAACGACCTCCCCGAACGCGAGTACAGGGATTGTAAAGTATTAATCCCTTCGGCCATCGCGGAGGAGATGCGCACCCTCCAATATGGATCGTTAGGGAGGGAGGCCCCCCTAGGGGAACGGTTCGATCTGTCCAGGCAACCTCGACACGAATCCCCCACGAGAAACAGTGTAACCCTGCCCCTCTTGACAGTCGGTGCAACTCGTACCGTACACCGTCTGGGTTACGTTTCTCAAAATTGATGCGAGCTGCATCAAGTTTGACGGGCCAAGCCTCACGGCCAATGCACTCGGTGTTATGGATGAGGGCATTCTATCCTTACACCAAGGCTTACCGTCTCGAACACGGCTGCTGTTGTACGAGCGATGTTAGAGAAATGCATCGGTGAAGAACGCTTCCTCAGCACGGATAATTTCCGTGCTGGAGTTAAGAGGGCAGATCTTCCTACAGCCGAACAACGGAATTCGGTCCCGTTCGGTAGTCATGCCGGCCAACGAGTCCGACTCCTTGGATGACAGCATCCAAGGAGGCTCCACTTGAGGAGCATGGCGCAGGAAATTTCGGTCCCTGGCCTCTTAGTTGGTGTAAGCATGGCACTGAAACAAGTGAAACCTCGATCCCTCGAGTTACATCGCTCGTGGTGATGTATAGGTGCATCACCACCTTCCTCCGCATCCTGTCGTTGGATGGACTTGCGTGAGGCGAGGATTCGTCGGAACAATCGCTCGATCCGCAATCCTCGGGCACGATACCGCCACGTTCACCAGAGCCAGTCAACCTGGCTCTTGCAATGTCCGCCCCGGGTGATCCGGAAGAATGAGGTGTCGCCTTCGAGTCGAATACATCATCCGACTCGCCAGAATAGATGAGCTCTATCGCAGACTCATCTTGATTACGACTCGTGGTACCCGCTGCCGGCGCAGCGTATGTACCTGTCACACGAGGTGACTCACCACGTGGAAGATTCACAACAACAGGCGAAGGATCACCTGCTGATGAGGTGTAAGAGGTACTTTCCCCGGCTGCACGCATCCGTGAAGCCGCCTTTCTTGCTGCTGCAGTAGCAACTCGCTTGGTCTTCGAAACAATGCGTTGGATGGCAAATGAATGGGATTTGACCAACAAGTGTCCCTTTTCCAGAGTGATCCTACGGTGATCACCCTGCCCCGACCATTAAAATTTGTTTAACGGGTAATTGACGGTCAAGTGGGGGGGATGAAACGGGGTAGCCCGTAAAATGATATTGACACCAAACGGTGTCAACAGAGATATTGTCTGGTATGACAGTATCCTACCAATATTATCCGAGATGGATTATATGGAAGTTATATTATTCCGTTTAGGATAATGTTCACATGCCGCTCAAAATTGGTTGATCAAAGACGTATCAACCATAGATTACCACCAATAGCTGCTAGACGCGCGTAATAAGTGGTGAGCAGGTTGTCTTCATACGACAACATAGAGTAATATAGTTTGATAAAGACTGCAGTTATATTGATAGCTTAACTATATTAAATTCAGTTCTCTCTTTACGCTTTGCTCAGCTTAATCGTTATGTAGACTAGCTTCATCTGCACGTAATCGTGTACGTAAAGGTTCGCGGCACCCAGACAAAGGGTGCCCCGTTACACTGACGATCTTAAGCAAAATTGCCACGTATGATCCGACACATCTGGAACGAGCTGTTGGCACAAACTACTTTGAAGGGATAATTGTAAGGGATGTTTCAAGCGTCGTTGATGACGTCAATACCGAATAGTATTGCAGCAAAGGGCGCACGCACAATACCTCAGCATCATTACCAAGTCTAATAGTCGATAGATCGCTAATTTACGACTTTATACAACCTCTCAAAAAGTCTAGCTGGTATCCATGGAAACCTGAGCACTAACTAGCTACAAGGGCTTCGTCTGAAATAACAAACAGAAGTTTGGGGTTTCTCCGCGCATGAAAGTAAGGAGTCATTTTCATCAGCGCATAATCGTTTTTTGAGAGGGTGGCATTCATGGTATCCATTATGGACGTCAAATGTAGCCTAAAGAAGCGATTAACTGCAAACAGCCGCCATGTAGCATGTACCATACGGAAGAGGCCGTTGGCCGCCTTTTTCTTCATTCGTGAGTGTAGGGTGTAAAGGGGGAAGGGTAGAACAGACGACAACGTCCCGGCGAAAGGAGTCTCTAGGAACGTGTCCGCATTTGTTTGAAGCGGGAAGAGAGCCGACAAGGGAGCAGCTGATTCTTTCTATCAGACTGTCCATCTGCTAGATGATAATATGAAGGAGTTTCACGATCACCTTCAGACTGTCCATCTGCTAGATGATAATATGAAGGAGTTTCATGATCACCTTTTGACCAAGTTAATGTATGCAAGATGCCTAATAGTCCTGAGCCAGGTTACAGGCGCCGGTCGGAGCAGCGGATCGTGGCTGACACCCACGTTAGGCGGGTGTCCACGGGGCTCTTGAATTAGTAATTTAAGACATGCATGAAGTCGGGCTCCACGTACAGCAGTAGCCGCGACTCGATGTTCGCGGATTGCAATCTCCCGCAGCTGGCGAATACCGCGTTTCCAGTACTTCTCGACGCTTTCAGATGGAGAAGTCGCAACATCTCTGTATACAGACGAATTTCGATTGGCCTACATAGGTTCTTGGCAGATGGAGCTTTAATCGGATTAGGTCCGATCGAATTCTGTTGCAGCGGCAACGGAATCATCTTGAAGACGGTTTTGCAACCGCAGATACAACTGACGTGGAAATGGCGGGTCTTGGCGATAGGCGCAGTGACTAGAGAAGGTTCTACGTTTGTCGCACACTCTCCGGTCCAGTGTCCTATTAGTTTACACCAACACGCTTGGGCGGTGGAGCAGTCTCAAAAAAATTGCGCCGCAGTCTCTTTGCAACCCTGGCATTGCAGCACCTTACAGCAACTGTTGCCCGGCGTGCGGTTGAAGTGGTACAAATTCAGTTGCTTATCCGCGATACGATAACATGTCCATACTTATTACTCCGTTTGCCCGTTTGTTTCCAAACACGACAAGATTTTTGTTTTAATGCAGCCGACTGCCAACTATCCGCGATCGCCTGCGCGTCGTAGTCCTTCAGCCAGTACTGGAGGACTGGGTGCAGCAAGCGTTTTTACACGTGAACCGCTTGCCGCAAAATCGCTCTCCACACATCGACATTGGCCACCGTCTCCGGCACACTCCAAAGGAAGCCATGGAGGTCCGGGTGGGTGATAAACACCAGAGTACGATGTTGCGTGTGCCCCCACTGGTAAGAAACTTGCTCGGGCGATATCCGTAGCTCAAGTAGATCGCCTTTAACTGACCATTGTATTCCATTGGAATCTTGGCGGAGTCAAATCGTTAAGTCCCCGGACTCAACTAAGTCCCGATACGACCTGACAATTAAATTAGCCTGGATCCATGATCGCTGATGTGCGCGCCGATTCGGAAGTGGATGATGTAAGACAATTTCAGGCTCTGTCGGTCCCGCACCCGCAGAAAGGTGGGGTGGCTCGAGCAGGACATAAGTCGCCCATTGTTGTACTTTACGATGCAAATGCCTAGGCGAGGTCCGCCAAGCGATGATTACAGAAATAAAAATTCCTGTGACCCCGTTTGTCGAATGCAAAGACTGTGTATTGAACATTGGAATATCCGGTTATATTTTGCCCGCGCGAGGGTCTTGCCGTCAGGCTTTAGAATCCAAGGATTGCTATCCCAGTGAAATCGGTCCCAGAAAGCGGCAAGTGCATTTATTCGTTCATCGAAATCGGCGGGATGGTCTGGAAATGCGCTATGGAATGATTGATCCAGTCGCTGCAGTCGCACTGACTGCGCGCCCTTTCAGACAATCGAGCGTGATGAGCGTCCGGCCTGGCTCGTATCGACATCACTTGTTAAGGGGAGGGTGCCAATAGATATTTAAGATCTTAAGTCAAAAATGAACTGCCGGGTCTGCGGACGATGGTAAACGTTATTAAAGTTAGCGGATGTAGTTCCGGGACTAGTGCCGATGTGAAACACCTCGCGCTATATGTCCAGCGCCGTTATGCTGTAAAATATTTAAAATGTGGTTGCATTAGCCATCGCAATGCGTGCTTCGTTCGCTGAGTTTTAACAACTACTTGAAACCAGGCCAGATCAACCCCGCTCGCCCTACGTGCTAGATGATTAGATGACAACAACCGGGACAGTAGATGTCGCGTATCAAATACTGATTGAAACATCATGTCCTTGACTTTAAACAATGTGTCACGTAGTACAAGACATCGGACATCAGAGACAACAAAGTGGGAGTGTGACGAAGTACAAGATGCCGTGTTCCTCATTCGAAATGTTGTGTCCCCAAGTACATATTGGCTCAGAAAGATGCTGGGACGCACTAGTACAATTATAAAAGACGCACTACTACGGTTGGTTCAGCTCCAGCATGTATGTATACACCTGTTAGGGTATACTGCTCAGTCAACATGTGGGGTTGTCACCTTCGAGGTTTTCCCTCTTTAATATTAAAGTGAGATAGGCTCAGTCCCTTCGTAAATGTATTAACCTATCACTAATATGATGCATGGTTGTGTGGTAATCATCTCGTGTCATCGATTATGACACAGTCTTACGACTCCAAGCTTTCTCATTTTGCTGGCTCAAGACGTCGGGCTTCACAGCGAAAAACTTCCAAAAGGGTCCGTGGAAACCGTTCGTTGAACAAGTCCGGGGTTAAATTCTTGTGTGCACTCAACTGGGTGCCCGCCAAATACGTAAATTTTGCACAATACTGTGAATTTGAATGTCTTGGTGGACCCTTTTCCCTCACCTGCATAGTTGGGTGATTAACATTGTTATGATGCTGTACATGTGGCACCAGACTGTCGAGCGTTGCTGTTACTGTCATTCTGCCTTTTCGTACTACAATAAGCACTTTACGGGACCCTAAAACAATTCGCCTATTGAACCAACAATGGACATCAAGATCTGCGTCTGCGTCTTCGTCTTTTCCATCGTTGCTGGGGATTCTCTGCCCTCTACCAGGCGTCACTGCATCACGAACGGGCGTCGTTTAAATGGGGAAAGCAATTAAATCGGAAGAAGCAATCAAGTGCTTTTTTGAAGCTGTCGGTGACTTCGATATAGTCCGTAAATGTTGCATAGACCAGTGTCGTAAGGATCCACTGGAACCTATGCCGTACGAGGCCATTGTCAGACGAAGGGCGGCTTCACATGGACTAACTTTCTTTGTTCGACGCTTTTACTGACCACAGCGTTAAAATTGTAATCTCGCGAGCCTACCATACAATCGCAGGCTAATTTTTGTCGATATATTATTACATACCGGATGTCACGTGCTAGCCAAAACTATGTTCATGGCCTAATGTTTGATTGTGTGTGCCCTTATCGCCATCTCGAAGGGTGAAGCTGTTATTGACTGTGCGCAATATTTTTGCCGACTTTCAAGCCTACAATCTTAGTGCATTCCAAAATACGCAAGGCTCACCATGCAAGCCTTACTAAGTGCGATCTTAATAATTTACTCCCTCAGGGTGAATATGCATTTTAGCAAACCCGACGGGTGAAGCTATCAATGACTGAGCGCAAGGTGAATACCAAATTTTAAAACCTGCTTTTTGTATTCGTGTTCGTGCGTGCCCATTTTTCTTCCTACATTTCTAGGTGTTCACTATACTCGTCGTAGTAAGTGCGATGTAAATTTTCTAGAAAATTAGAAGTTTTGCATTGTAAATATGGAAGCGCTAAATTCACACCCCTTTTCCTTAGGTTCACACCCTTCCTTCAAAATCTTATATATAAAATCCCTGTTCATTCTAATATTAGTTTTCTGACAAAGGTATTATCTGAAAATACCTTTGACGTGCGAGCTCGAGAAGTACACTAAGCCGACGGGGTACGTTTGCCGTACCCATCTACGTAACCTCCTTTGGGTATTGACTTTGCTTTCGTTTAGGCTATACCCGAGCTGTCTGTGGGAGCTCGAGATTGCGCGCCGTCTGATTGTCGACCGCAAACTGGCGCCGCGCTTTCATGGCAAAGAGATGAAAGAGGAGGGATTCACTCTCGAGTGTCCGATCTGCTTTATGGTGAGAGATAGAGACGGGAGGAGACTGCCAATGTGGACCATTAAATGACCGGTTGGCGCCGCATGACGTTACGATGTTTCTAGTTCTACCATGGGAGTCTGAACACGTCGAGCTGCTGCAAGAAACTCATTTGCTCCGAGAGCTATATTCAAATTTGGCCGCCAAGCAAAACGATTTCGTGCGTGACGACAGTTTGCCGTCCAGAGACTCGAGATTGATGGTTTTTGACTCACGTGTCTTTTGTGTGGACTTTCTGTAGCTGTCCATTTTGCAACCATGAAGGGTTCACTGTCCTGTACACGCCACTGACACCGACAGAGCTCAACTCGACCCATTCCGTGACAGTATGCGCAGCCCCTGATTCTCTTCTTTCACTGTGCGATTATGTGCTAAGCCTCATGTTTTGCATTACATTGTAGAAAGAAATGTCTCCGCGTCGAAGTAGCGCCATTGGCATCCCCAAAGCTATATAAACAGAGTGCACTATGACGTCAAGTCTGCAGAGTGTGCAGTACGCGTCAGTGGAAGACCGTGATCGGATTCGCGATTCGCTTGCAGCTTAGCGTCAGCGACAAGTCTGTGACCAACAGTCCACACCCGAATTGTGTCGCAGCGCTAAATGATGCAGCGTCCCGCGTTGCGACAACACCCGCCGACGCTGCGCGGCTAGAGGAACTGATGCTCTTGGAAGCTATCCGGCGGTCGATGCAAGATATTAAAGTCGAAAAAAAGACGAGGAACGAGGGAAATGGCAGAAGTGTTCAGCTACCTAACAACGTGAGTGGAGATGCCGGTGAAGGGCTTGACTGCAACGTCGGCTGTGCTAACGGTGTGGTGCTGAACGCATCTCAACTCAGCGTAAACGCCCGAGATGTGCTACACTATCCCTCCAGCTCATTCACATCTCACTACCGCAATAATGCTGCGCCCTCAGTGCAATCGTCCAACACACCGAGTTGGTAGTGCGGCAGCGATTAAAGTAAGGTGTCGTAAGGCTTTGTGCAGACAGAGATGCTTCAGGTAGCGGTGGTGCCCACGGCTGTGAAAAGATGGGTGACGTGCTGGGAGTAGTAGTAATGGAAGTACGAACAAGTGCGAGAAGGGCAAGGACGCGGACGAGTACGAAAATGGTATGCTCGTTAACCTATTGGAAGTCGCCATGCTCAGTTTATCATAGTCATCCATAAGTTTACGATAGCATAGTCATCACATTGGCATTGGCGTATACATTTCCAATACATCAGGCGTCTCTCTAGCTGTTGCTATGCAAGCTCGATTATGTTATTGACGGTTGGCTGAGAATACTCACGCCTGTGGTTACTGTGACCACAGGCGTGAGTAGTAATTTAGGTATTTCTTACGTATTACTTGCCAATTAATGGCCTAGATTTTCGAGTAATACCTTTGTCAGAAACAAATATTAAAATGAATAGGGATTTTAGATATAAGATTTTGAATGAAGGATGTGAATCGAAGGAAAAGGTATGGAAATTTAGCAATTTTCTACAAACATTACTTTTTGGGTAAAAAAAACTATTTGTGACCACACAGCTAGTGTAATAACAGCTCCAACCCGAAATAGATTTTTATGTCGACCTGGTATTCGAACCGAATGATCCGGATCCCGGGTTGAGGTCGGACCCTAACAAACGACCTAATGTCCACTTTTATTTTTTCCCACATTTTTGCCATTGCAACCAACCCAAATGACTTATTTTATAGCTCATTTAAAGTGTTGCGTCGAGCTCTTTGTCTCTACTCTGGCACCCATTTACTGGATGAGGGCCTGTGTCTGTCTTTCGTGATTACTGGTCACCATTTTTTGTATCTTATAGATTCAGCCAATTAAAATAGGTCATGTCATAGTTTGCAAACAGAATCGATGCCACCAAAACTGCATCGTCGGTCGCCTTAACCGACAATGTCTCCCAGCAAGCAGAGTGTGGGTTTGGATTAACTTTGTAAGGCTCAGAGAAGTGGTAGAGCAGTTTGTCAGGACCTAAAGCTTCTTGGCAAATCAGCAAATTGCTGAGCTACGTATGTATGTACAGCTATGAGTAAACCCAAAATTTGGCCTAGCATTTAATGACCAAGCATCAGATACGCGATAAGCTACTTGAACAAGGTGCAATGCGTGCATATTAAAATCAGGCAATCTGAAGTAGCGTGCATCGTTAAGTTAATGTAATATAGTTCAAAATGTTTCTAACATGTAAAGATGTAATGGAAAACTTAACTAGACAGGCAGACACTAAATAAGTCATCGCTTAAACTTGTTCTAGAGCATTTGTTGCATATCTAATAAGTTGAATATAGGCAATAGCTAATGTTGGTATAAGGCTACTTTTGATTTTTGATCACCGCTCGACGCAAAACATATAAGAAAACTTCATTCTTATGGCACAGAATTGGTACTTGCGGACCACGATTATACAACTAAAAAGGAAACATTCCAATGAATGTAGGTGCTCTTTTTTGTATGTTATATATCTTTTCATATTGTTTTTATTGTTTCAAGCAGTGAGTACAATCATTTGTAGTGTTAACACTTCACATAATCGTAAATGATTTACCACAGCGACTTCAAATATTTGAAGTGCTTGTGGAACTGGTAGCATCAGATATCAGAGCCAAGAAGGTTGTTTCAAGATGCGGTCACGACATGATTTTTAATTTGACGATATTGATACGTGCACTTTTGCTTCGCGAAGTCCATTGCTGCTTTTATGGATAGATTCGTCGAGCTTCGGAGATAAGAGCTTCAGAGCTTTGTTGATTATGGAAAATGAAAGGGCTATGTGCATAAATTCCGTTTTAAGCTGCTCGAACTATAGGAAAAAGTATTTTTGAAGCAATTAGTGGAAAAATTGTAAATTGGAATAGGTTGAATTAGGATTGATTTTTTAGGTTTTGTGCTTTTGACATCTTCACAATATCCATTAATAGTGGCGGATGCACCTGTATATGCCATGCTGTTGGTAAAAATCGGGAGAAGTTTAAACTTGAATGAAGTTACATTTTTTAAATCATTAATCAAAGCCAGGTATAAAATATGCAAACGAACAAAGAGATAGCTGATATGCTATACGCTAACTAGCTATATAAGTACTGGACCCTCGGATCATGTTAGACAATTTAAAGGATGAACGTAAAAACTCGGGATACACGCGATCAGTTTTTGTAGAGACCACAACTTTGCAACGCACATGAGCAACTCCGAACGGCTACATCCAGCTTAGGAAAAAGCGGCTTTACCTCCTACGCGAATCGACTTTTCAAGAAAAACAAGACGCTTGACCTCGATGAAGATATTACCTATTATTTAAATAGTAAAAAGGAACAATCCGATACGTACCACTGCTTTAACGGAAACCAAAAACTACAAAATTTTTAATCTCGTCGGAGATCACACGGGCATTTTGGTCAATTCCGGTAACTTGTGTACTAAGCAAAAAAATCTATTCTACGGGCACAAGAATAATTACTAAATTTTGCGGCTCTCTGAGTGCAAGTAATTCACAAGCGCTTACGTGTTTAGTAAACTGGCTGAACAACAATTAAACGATCTACAAAATGTACTACTGACTAATATGATGAGCCATGATTCGAAAATGAAGGCTAATTGAATGACAAAGACGAAGTATCCAAACAGCTGCTGGTTTTAGCAATGACAAGAATTGTAGATATCACTGACCCCAGCTAAAAAATTTGACATCCGCCACATTAACAGATCTTGTTATAAAAATATGGAACCCATTACCACTTATCCGTGCAAAAGTAATTTGTCTCATTTGACGTCTGTGCAGCCCTACAATTGCAACAACAATTACACAGCCGGTATATAATACAATTAGAATTTTAAAGACACATGAAAGCATTACGTCCAAGGCTAATAGATCCATGTTATATCTACCTACTGATGAGACTTTTTATCGGTCCAATTTCTTTAAAACCAGTCGCATCATCGTAAAATAAAACGATTTTTTGTTATCTAGGTAGCTCCTTTACCTGGACCATCACTTGGGTGACGCGCACGTTTTCGTGTGAGTCCACTTAATGTCTTTGTACAGTCTGAATTTTCTGATGACCAGCACAATTTGACCAAGCGCTCAATCCCGCTGAATTAAAGATAATGCGAGAATTTAAAATTTGTTTCAGATTGCCAAAAAGTTCAGAAGCAATAAGGAGAATGATGTACCTCTAGTTAAATTGGTGACAAGGGCGCTCGTGGTCCGTGTCGTCTTCTTGCATACTTTTAAATCGCCTTAACACGACAATTGGACACAATCGATCACCTGTACAAGCTTGTAATTGTAAAGATGGGAAATGAAAACGCGAATTTTGAAACGTGCGCGTAAAATGACATGTATCCGATGCTTCGTGGGATAGGCAAGATCTTGATTTAAAACGGTTTGTAATGAGCAGAGTCATGGCGGAAAACGTGTACATATAACATAATAACATGTATGGACGTCAACAACAAATACAATGCTTATTAATCATAGTGCTTAATTGGACGTACATGTTGGCCCGTTTAACGGTTTCCCTGAGGGACCTTGCCACATGAACACATGACTTGCCCACTTTATCCAAAAAACTTTTTGTACATGTACATACGGATGGACTGTGTTGCGATTTTTGATTACGTGATGATCTGAGTAATTAGACCAAGGAGCTGGTCCAGTTTGTGGGTCGGGGTCTGACCCGGACCAATATCCCTGGGTTGCAGACTTAGGTATTATATCAACGAACTAATGCAGGTACATAATCAGTTTAAAAATTCAGCCAAGGGCGGAAAGAGGGCTAACAAGCAACAATCTTACACTTAAGTCCCGCATCTCTAATTTATGGTATATGTGAATTGTTTTTCATTCATAGAACTGGATACACCAACTAGTATATGGGAAATGAACCACATTTCTCTCTCACCAGCAGTTAAAGCTCCCTCAGAGAATGATTCCTCTTACATTAATAAACCAAATGTTGTCAGCCGCATATTCTTTTGACGGCGTTACGAAGCACGATCATCCCCTGTTCCTTATTTTTCTCGTTGGTCTCTCTAAGAAATTTACAACATCAACGAGTATGATAGCTTAAACACAACAATCAATAGCATTTAATTTAGCACACGACACGCGATTCATTCCCTAGCCGCTAACCACCCAGTATTATTAAAGCGTACATGGTGGTGGTTAGATAGTCTATTTACACGAATTCTTATCCTATCTAACAAGGCCAAAAGCCAATAGGCTAATTCGGGAAGGTCAACCGGGAGTAGGCCACAGCAGACACCAGTTTGGACAGGAAATTTATTTTGTGCTACGCTTTAGCAGCGTAAGGCATGTGTAAAGATATTCAATCGCGTTACAAACTCGACCTCTCGAAATTTTCTATTCACTACATCCAGCAGGTTACCGATGCACCAAGCCCTTAGGTTCACTACGTTTGCGTTCACATCGAGTGGCACTGCTCG